TTACACGTTTCAATTCAAATTAAATTCATACAAGCGAATATGTCTGACGAAATTCTAAAATTTATCAAAACAGTTTAATAGGCCATTTTTAGCCAATTTGTCAGATTTTCAAAACTTCGTTCCAAATTTTATTTGGCGATATGCCGATATCCCAGTCAATATTGCACGTAAATAAACATGCTATAGCTCAAAATTTAAGTTAGACTTTTATGAATACAGCTACGTATATTTCAGCGATGTAACACTTATAGTTTTTTCGCTGTACTAAATCAAACGCGTGAACTTTTTTTTGCGCCACCCGGGATTATCAAATATAGAGTCAAAATTAAATCATAATTTTACTATACTTCCTAATGCTGACACTAGAATCTGATAAGTGATCACACGCATCCGAGAATCGAAGAATCCGGGAATCGAGAAATCTGGGAATCGAGAATCGGGGAATCCCCGAATAATAATAACTTTGCAACATATCATTCGTTTATGTAACACGTTCGTGTGAATCAGAAACAAGGAACAAAATCTAAAATCTAATAATCCTACAAATCCTACAATGTCGCTCTCCAAGCCTCGCGGTAAACCCCGCTTCAAAGACTGGCTCATTTATGTCTTAGACAATGACCTGTGCCACGACGATGCGAGATGGCAAGACAGCTCTCGACGCAGGGCAATCATTCGCTGGCCCCACAAATCGCGTGGAACATGGTCTTTGGAAAAAGATGCCAGACTGCTCAAAATGTGGGCCATCGCTTCGGGGAAATATCGAAGAAACGTCGACGCACCAAATCCCAAATCGTGGAAGTGCAATTTCAGAATGAATTTAAATATTTGTAAGAATATTGTTGAGTTGAAACACGAACGAGTACCTAAGGGCCCGAATGCTTGCAGAGTTTACAGGTTTTTAGATCGAAGAACTGCTTCGCCTTTGCAATTTGATTATGGTGAGTTATTATCTTTAACGTTGTGCTAGTAAATAACGTAATATGTTCTTGTTTCATTGTCAAATGGCTGGTATGAATAGGTAATTTTGACAGGCAGTTGAGTATTATTGTACTGCTGTCAATTGCGATACGCCAACAGAGTAATAACATCGATAGCAAGGCAAATTTATGGTAATAATAATAATCAATAATTATTCTCCGAAGTGGACATAAATATAGTGCAAGTATATTCACGGAAATGCGAAGCGTTGGCGATTAGTACAAAAACTTGCTTGTCTGTCATTTAAACCGAAACTAATCAGGAAGCCATTTTGTTTTTGTCCGGATGTGAATAATGTAAGAATATCAAGAGCTAACCAATGAAATTGCGCTATCCTCTTCCGAGAATAAGCCAACACCAAATAATTGTTTGATCTATTACCATACTGTTGAAATATAGTTGGGTTTCACGAAGCGCTAGTGAGCAGTAGAAGGTGGTCAATCTTTTCATTATATATAGTAGTCTTGCATAAACAAATAGAATTGCGCTATTAAAATGTCAACAATTTTTTTTACCCAACTTCAAATATCAATTAAAAATACACACACCCACCCCTGGCCAAAACTTAGCCACCGTTCTATATATGACACGCGTTTGATAACTGCTTGTGCAATTTTCTTCAGTCTAAAGTTTCATGTTGTCTGCACATGCACTTTCTTTGGAGACACCATTTGCCTCCTGAGAAATCGAAAAATGATCAAGATAGTGACTCTGATTGATTGATTTACATATTGTATTGAGATTGCTTTTTAGTCTTCAATATTTGAACGAGTCGTGCTTTGGAAATGACAATACATTTTCATTGCCCAACCCTTGAGTTGTTTGGTTTTTCATTTACCCAACCTTTTACTCACTCAAAATTTTGTTTACCCAACCCTTTTCTCTTTGGTGCCACCCCCAGCCATAAATCTTTACAACAGCATGAACAATTATTAAGAATAACGTACAGACAATCCTACATCAAGAACCAAAAGACATATTAACCCATTGAGAGGCAGCACTTTCCCCCTGACGAGTAAAATAGTCTGGCGTTAGACAGAGTAAAATAATAAAGTAGGGCGCATCCGGGCGCATTGCCACTTAAAGTAATAAAAGCAGTGAAGGGCTTTTCGTATATAGAATCTCGGTAAAGAGACAAAATAAACTGATGCATTTATTATCATTAGGCGATTGTTCGACAAATAATGCGGATGAAGATACAGATGATGATGTGGAAACGGACTTCAGTTGGTTGGATGGTTTAACGGGTACAGGTACAGCCAATCGTTTAATTTGTACATTAAATACTAATAACTTAATGCGAATTCAAACCATAAAACCTTCAAACATGATGATTAATATTACATTACCTAGATTGGCTAGAATAGACAACTTGCATGTTAGACTAATTTTTTATCTTGGCAAAAAAATATATTCCCGGAAAGAGCATACTAAAATGAGTAAAATTGCAAAGTTTGGTTGCGAAATGTCATTTCGCAACCAAACTTTGCGGAAATGTTGTAAAATGCGGAAAATATAGCCCTGCAAAGTTTGCAAATTTTGTATACTTTTGTATTGCGTGCGGAAATTGCTACCACATTTGGCCCAAAAAGCCAAATTTCCGCACGCAATACAAAAGTATACAAAATTTGCAAGGCTATATTTTCCGCGTTTTACAACATTTCGCAACCAAACTTTGCAATTTTGCTCATTTTAGCATGCTCTTTCTGGCTGTGGTGATTTATTTGCATCTCCTTGCCTAGTTTTAAAATTAGTCTGCAATGGGAATTGTCTATTACTGATGAATCACCTAAAGTTGATCATACAAGAGCCATACACTGTTATAGTGCCCTCGACATTGCGATGTATTTTTCATTCTAGAATGCCATGTGGATGATGATGAAACTATCAACAATGTCGGAAACTAATCTTAAATTATTTAGCATAAATTAAGTTAATTAGCTTAAGTACCAAAACGGATATAGACAATTTATGATTGGACGTAATAATCACGTGATTATAGCAGGCTCGCAATAATTAACAAATAGATATGTTTTCGGGTCTTTTATGTATTCTTTCATATACTCGGTAAAATGATTAAATTTTTTGTTTTATTTTGTTTTGTTGTTTATCGTATATTGTTTGCTAACGTCAGTTAGCCGTTCTGAACCCTGATTTCTGAACCCAAAATTCCTTTGCTTGGATGTACTTATCGCCTAAAGTACGTTATAATACTTTTTGTTTGTGCAAAGTAAATTTATCACTGCAAAGCTTCGTAAGCCCGGATCTTCATCAAAGCTCATAATATGTATAATAATAATTACATATTACTGCTAATAATGGTTAGTATAGCACTGATGAAGATCCGGGCTTACGGATCGAAAGCTTTGCAGTAATAAATTTACGTGGCGTCTCCACAAACAAAAAGTATTATATATTTTATCGCCATGCAAACCTACAAAGAACTTACTAAAGTAGGTTAGTTGGTGAAGAGCATGGGTACGGCATTGAATAAATTTAGCAGGGTGTTTATAGCTAGCCCATAATCCATATACTGTCCGTTTGACAGACTCTTCCCAATTGAAGTAGCTAAGGGGCTTTCCCAACTGCGTCTACTGGAAGATTTTCATTTTTTCTGATGAGAAAGTGCATTGCGTTTGATTTTATATTATTATATCAAAGAACGTTTTATTTACTTTTCCCATTAACTATTTTCTCAAAATGTATCGCGTTTCATTCATATTGGGTGCGTATTCACTGAAATGAAATGTACAAAACAAAGTGTAATCGGTGTGCATCCGTGTTCATTCACCGGAAATGAAATATACAAAACGAAGTGCCATCGGGTACATTTTTCAGTGTTCATTCAGCGGAAATGAAATGTACAAAACCAAGCTACCGTTGTTTCCATCTAAGGAGAGACACGTTGGAAAAAAACACTATTTATTCCTACACAAGGACTTTCATCGGTCAAAAAAACTTTCCCAATTTACGTTTAACGGACAAAACTTTTTTTTCTGGCTAACACCTTGTTTAGCCTCATATTGTAAATCCGAAGTGTCTTTAAATACGCTTGAGTTTCATTGTATTTCCTAAAGGCCCTCACTCCATTTTTACCAACAAATAAAAATTTTGCGTCAAATTTGCGTAATCGATCTCGAATCTGTGATACTGTTGCGCAGTAGTTAGAGCAACCGCGTTTCAACTCTGAGAGTTCGTGGCCGCCGTGGATTCGATTCTCGCTACGGACTCATGACACTTGACCAGTGATGTGAAGTAACAAAGTAAATGTACTTCGTTACTGTACTTGAGTACTATTTTTGAGAAGTTAACATGTAACAAAGTAAACTTTTTCTGGAGCACTTTTACTTGGAACGAAGTCGTTTTAAGAAGTAATGTTTTACTTCGTTATTTTCATTTTGTGGCGAAGTATTTCGTTACTTTCTAACTTTTGTTTAATTTTACGTAATTTATTCCTAATTTATTTTAATTTTGGGATAGGTAATAGCACCTCTACATGCGTCTGGGATCTCTCGTTCGTGGCTTTACTTATAAGCATTATTATATTTATTTAATGGATTTCTTATATCTTCAACGGGTCGGGGTCTGGAAAGTAGACCATGCCATGAAATATTGTATATTTATAATGCGTGTGCTGTTTTGTGTTTTTGTATATATCTCAATCCATCAATGGAGAAGTCCCCCCCCCCCCTACACTCTACAGACAACAGTACTTTTACTTTTACTTTGTACTTACATACATATACATACAAAAAAAAATTTATTTAAGCACGCTGGCCTCAACAACTCGGAGCTGATTTCCATGAGGGGCGTGATTTGGAGAAATATACAGTACAGGTAAAGATTAAAAATACAAAAACAAAGAAAGAAGAATTACATATACAGTAGGCAACAGGACGAGCCAATTTTAAGTGTTTGCCTGATTAATAGTTCTTTGAAAAGAACTTAAAGATTCCGGTAAAAGAATACGGTAAATTATTCCATACTACCGCTCCGTTATATTTGAAGCATCTTTTACCAGAATCGGTATTCGGTTTAGGAAGAGACAAATCGGTTTCTCTGTTTCTAAGATCATAGGTATTATCACATTCATTATTCAATCGAAAGGATGTTCTCAGATTTGGTGCGGTGTGGTTATTCAGAATTTTA